GTTACGAATTATTTGATGGATAAGCCGTCGCGACGAATCGCGTGCACTCGTATATTCGCGACCTGTTCCTGTCCCTGTTCGCATGCTGATTCACAAAGAGAAAGGATAGGTCGCGAAGGAAGGAATAGAGAGGCGCGTGTTGCAAAGAAAAGAGATGCAGACAGGTCACCGACCAGTCGCCGGTGACAATTCCGACGGTCGTCCGACACACCGGCCGACAGGTACTCCTACATTATTAGCGGAACTAGGCCAACGGTGCAGGTTCGCTAAAAAAAAAAAGAGAGAGATAAAAATAACTTGCGCAAATTGGATTATCTTTATTTCCGTTTTATACTGGAATAAAAGCGTGTCTAAAGTATTTCAAACTGTCGACCGCTTTACCGAGTTTGATCTAACGTGATCTATGAAGCGATCAGGCTCTTCACTTTTATGCGACGTTTATGTTCATACATTTTATGTCTATTTCAATTCATTGAAAAGTAATATTTCCTAACGGTACAATGAAATGATATATGAATGAATTATTTTCTACTAATTATTAATTCATCAACATATACGTATCAGATATATCTCTTTAAATTATATTCAGACGAAATAATTTTATATACACCTGCAAATTTTTAATAGAATAACTTTTCTCGCATTTCCTTTATATAATCTTGATTTATGAACTCGACTGCGCTAATTATGTCTTAATTAAAATTTTATCATGATCATGGCATAATGGTAAAAGAAAAAAAAACGGTAAAAATTATATTGAACAAACGTGGAAATCAAACCGCACCTATACACCGATTAGCGTTCTGAAAACCGTTCGTGAGGTCGTGTATGTCGTCCCATACGTGGGACGAGTCCCAAGGTGGCGTGGGGGGCGATTTGAAATGCGCGCATTGAAATTCCCTCCGATTTCGCCGAGACCGAGTAGCCGATTTTTATCGAGTACACGGCTGGTTACTGGACAGAAGTCATAAACCGCATTCGATACCGAAGAATGGTCGGACACGGGCGGAATAAAAAATACTCGGCCGGACAGGCGCACTCACGATACTTGGATCGGACGAGAGAGAAACCATTCGGACGTCGAGTGGTTCTCTCAATGAGGGAAATAAAAGAGGAAAAATACCGTCAATAAACGTCGAGAAAGACGGACAAGTGTTTCGCGTAATAATATTTAATGGCGGTTGTGAATGTTACCCGGAGGTAAAAATTTCTGTCGCGTCTGTGATATCGCGACAGCCGATAGAGCACGTCTCTCATACGTGATGCTCAAAATGTCTGGAGCAATGCGTCACACCTCGTTGCGCGGATAACAGAAAGCCGATAATTTATCATCCATATTCCACGACTGAGTGTCCAATTCGATTTATCGATCGGAGTTACACATCGAACGCGTTTTGCGATACCAAATTTCCAAGTGGTATTTTCGCACGTTCCTATTTCGTCTCGTCTGCAGAGCCGCGGGTCAACGTCCCAGGACTACGATCGATTTGCCAGAGTATCGCTAAATTCAGCAAAAGCATCCGATTTTTACGGTATTGTCCTACGTGACCGAAGAATTGATGCGATCGATTGAATCCGCGAGCTCATTTCACGCGCTACAGGAGCAAGCCTATAGATGTACTCGGTATTTTTATACACGTTGTTTGTAACGCAGCTGTTCTTTTATAACCGGAGGCCGACGGCCGTCCAAGCGTCTCCCGTTGTTTTTTTTTATCCGCAACACTGTTTATCGGGAAGATTATCGGCTCAATACGCTCAACGATCGATGGCTTTGAGAATCACGTGAAGCGTCCGTCATTCAAAGTCCGACGACGGTGACGGCGTTCGACACGCGCCTCGTCCTTTTGAAACTTATTGTAGCGTGTGCTCATGACGAATATGCTGCTTCGACATACACCGTTCGCTTCTCTCGTTTTTACCGTTTCATGAATATCCGTGTGATTCGAGCGCTCGGTCAAGCGAGAACCTAAAACGGACTTGTTGAAAATTCGCACGACATTTTACGGACCATTTAACAATCTTTGTAAATAAATGTAAAATGTTAAATTTTTACTTTCAATTTTTAATTTAGTTAAATGTAAATTTGTGTCATTTATTCATATTAATCCAATGAAAAAAATTATAAAATACTAACTTATTTCATAAAGTTTGATTTCACAAAATATTTTTTATATATAACTTTTATAATGGAATATTAGATGAGAAAGCAAGAAAAATTAATATAAAAAAAGTCGTTAAATAAAAATATTTATTGGAATAAAGTGTAAATAATTAAATATTGCTGGAAATTAAAATTTATATATAGAAAAAAATATGCTAACAAAATCTTAGTTGAAGCGTGGATATGAGAAATAACAGTAAGAAATCACAGTAAGAAAACAGCGAATGTCCTATCAAGAAGTTGCACGACACAACAGTGTTGGTTGGGTTGATCGCAAAATAATCATAGCGGCTTAAGAACGCCCTCGCCGTCTACCTGTGGACCGACAAACTTTGGATTCTCTCTTCGGTTATTGCCCTTCCTAGATCGCGTGTCTGCCGAGACGTTTCTTATTTACACTCCATTACCACGTTTCATTTTCGTCGTTCTACCTAACAAGCGCGCGAGCATCGTTGTAGACACAGGTTGGCCTTGCTAATTAACGTTCAATAATGAGTACTTTGTTAGCGTATTCCCGGTATTTCCCTTTATCCACGGATTCTACGGAATCCATTTCTTCCTATGAGCAAAAATCGCTTGAATATTAAAATTTTTTTTTAATCTTTAATTAATTAAAATGAATACTTTGATGATTGAATCTCAAATAAATGTAATATCAAAAAATAATGGACCATCTGGTAAAACGCAAAAAATCTTCCACAAAATGAATAGACTGGCATTGCAAATGACTCATGTGTTTCCAATTAATGATTAATCGTACGCAATATTAAGGAACGATAAGAGCGATGATAAAATCGTGAGAGAAACGTTCCTATTAATGTTCAGCGTTACGGTAGCGACGCGATGCGGATATGTAAGCCTCCTAACAAGTATTCGCGTATTAGTATGCAACATCATACTTGGCTGCGAGGATCGCAGCATTATTACGGTCGATATGCAGAGTTAACTGTTCATTGGAAACCTCGCGTTTCCGCTGAAAGGCGATTTAATATATCACGCCCGTTGATCGTTACGCGATAGGCGAGCTATCGGACGCACGTCGACCGTGACGGATTTGCCGACCGTTCGTTTTTACAGCGGAGCAAGATTGCCTCGCAAACGGCGAGATCGCGGCGCGCCATCAGGAAATAGCAACAATCGACCGCGAACGTAACAGCAACAGCGGTTGCACGTGCTCGAACGCGAGGCGCCGCGTCATGCAGAATTTCCGATCGTTGTCGTCGCCGTGATCATCGTCGTCATTGCCGCCATGGTTTCCATGAAAGATTGAGAGGAGAATTCGATCCACCGCAGGAATGTCCCGTTTATTCACGCGCTTCTCTCTCCATCGTCGTTCGAAAAAAATAAATAAAAGAAGAAAAACGCCGGGACAACATCTACTCCGACAGATACAAAGGGGAGATTCCTGTAGATTCCTCTAGTTTGCATTTTTCATCTCTGTTACCGTGTCGCTCTCTCGCGCACAGGGCCCGCGCGCGCGATCTATTATTCCAATCCCCAGTACTTCTGTGACTCATTATGTAGGACCGCGCGGCCTATTTTAAATTCTTCCTGACTAGTTGTCGCTTTAAAAAAATCGATACTTTCGGCTGTTGATGTTCTCTTGCATTCTTGCAAAGAGTTCAACTGTTTTTGAAAAGGCTAATAATAATTTTACATAACTTTGTTGTTATGCGATTTCGTAAAATGTATTCGAAAAATTGCAATTGATCTCGAACTTATGATTCCGCATACAAAATATAATCTACGTCAATTGTATATATGTGCAAATGTGTTATCGTTCGAGATTTCGTTGCTCTCATCGTACTGTCTCGTAACGAAATCTCTCATAATCTTCCGGATACCGCGAATACTCGAGATCCTCCGGATTGGAACGAAGGTCTCCTTGGTATTCACGTATTGGCGTATTGGTGTTTGGCACGGTATTCAAACACTGTCTCTTAATTGTTCGAGGTGTTCGTACACCCCTGACTATCCTTTACAAGCTGCAAGTTAACACGCATACCTATTGTATGACGTCTTGAATTATTTAGATAGTTCGGATTGACCCTTTTTGACTTGATTCTTGATTCATCTTCACACGATTTATAAAAAAAGAAATTATTATGTATAAAAATATAGAAATTATTTTTCTTACTCTAAATATCTCCTTCATCGATATACGATGACCAATTTACATGAATTGTTAATTGGTCGATCGTTCCTTGCTGATTAATGAAATAACTGTGTAAGTGAAATATTCAATAGAAAATTGATCGTTACTTCATTATTTCACATTTACAGTAAAAATAATTTTTGCATAAAAAAAATTTTTTTAATAAGTAAAAAAGATCATTATAAATATTTAAAGATTCGCTATTAAAGATACGTAATCTTTTCTAATTCTCATAAATAATTCTAGACATGTTTTTTAAAGCAAATAACTCGTACGTGATAAAAACGTGATATAAACGAGTTCTTATCGTCGGCAACGCAGAGTGTGGAAAAATTCTCCGTGCAATAGGGGTGTTTCACTATAACGCCTCTCCGAACCGAAAAACCGAATTTTCATATAAATTTCTAGATCTCCCCCTTCGCATTTCGGGATCACTTGAGGATCGAGATATTCTCTCGGTAGAGCACATCATCACAGTCCATAAAATCCACGATGACAACGACGATAACGATCGAGACGATTATGTCGTTATCCCGGCCCGTCACAGTCGCGCTTAATCGAATCACTGATCTTGATCACTTGATGTCACCGAAGAAGGCGCGACCAACCCGCTTCGTCACTTATCCACCCTCAACGATCGGCCGAGGAGAAGACCGGCACTAAGTACTCTTCACGATCACTTACCTATCCAGCACGGTCGTCGACGGCGGACGACCCTGACGGCTCGATGCGGCGACGTGGTCCCCTCTCGATGCACGATCGACGATTTAGTTAGTTATTTCGCACCGTATCGGACGCGAATCTATTGTAGATTTACGATAAACTACGTGCTTGCTCCGAAGTCGCGATGCGACGATCGTTTTTCAAAAGGGACCCGGGCTCCTCTCTCGCACCCTCCAACGAGCATGTGCGAGTGCAAGAGCTTACTCTCTTTCTCTCCCCCTCTCT